TTTAGGCTCTGGCCGTCGGCTAACAAGTCCGATCAGGGCTCATTTTTGGTTTACGCACTCTTTGATGTATGCCTTAGACACTCTGAGGGTACCGAACTTGTACTTCGATTTTTCAGGTGAAGGCCAGGTCATCCTAGGTCACGGAAATTTTATATCATGTAGGTATCGGTCACGACGCATGTTTTATGGTTCATTTTACTCAAAGATTTCGAAAACAATGTCGTCTGTGTCATTGGAGGTCATTTCAGCTGAATTTACCTGAGGTCAGGTCACGTTCAGGTAAAAAAGGTCAAATTTTGAAAATGAAAAGTTTCAACAAAAAAGGTGCCTATCAGATAAAGTTTGAGCTCAGGAACACGATGGTGCTATTTATTTTGCTGCACAATGTCAAAAACGCTCTGAAAAAATGGTTTTGAAAAATACATATTTGTAAAATTTTGACAATAATGCAAATAACTCAGCTATTTTTGAAGATATTGGGCTAAATTTAAGTAAAAAAAACTTTTGAAAAAATCAATTTTTTTTGTAATTGTAGGAGTATATTTTTCAAAATTCTCAAAATTTTGAAACTCCGAGATAGCAGTTTGATAGCCTCGTTTACTCTAAGTTCACTCATGCAAATAAATTAGATCTAACTAGCTTTAAAACTGAGATCTTAAATGCGATTGCTGTAGTTCAATGTTTTGCACAAAAATCGGCCGACATGACGTCACTCTGATGTCATTTTCGGCCGACCTATGCTAGCTAGGAAGTTGAAATTCGGACACAAGGATGCCGCTGAAGGTACCGCAAGTTTCGTGTTGGTACGTTTAACGGTTTGGAAGATACTGCTGAAAAACGGGAGGGTATGTACATACTCTGTAGAGCCCCAGTCGTGCGCGGGTTAATTAGTTATGTTATCGATACGAGATTTTAGGAGCGGTGGATTGCCGCCACTTCAGTCTTCATTGGCTCATTCACAATGAGTTTATAACAGCGAATTTCATTGAAATGGGTTATAAAACAGGGAACCGGCTGAACTGCAGGGCCACTTGTATTAGTAGGTATAGGGAATAAGGAAGGAGGCCGGACGCCGGTAACTTCGAAGTCGCGGCTGGAGTGAATGGAATGGGGCAACCGGAGTGAGTTGATAATGCACATTCGGATTCGGCGTTACAAATATAGGTATAGTACATCCAGTCAAATATTACAAAAAGAAATGAGGGCTGACCGCATTTCGACACACATTTTTGGTCGAGACACCGCGTCCGCAGTACGTACCAGTAGGGAAAAGTGGGGTAAGACGGTTAGGGTAGGTAAGACGGGCACCCCCTCTGCAGACCAAACCAATAGCGCTGCGAGCGAGAAAGATTAGGACCAGTATTGCCTTTCCCACCACACGCCACCCTTGAAGCCTGGTGAATTTGTGTTCAGTCAATTATCTTTTATTTCGATTTCTTAAAAACACTCATTTCATTAAAAATATCGATAGTGATTGTGCAAACTTTTGTGTGCAGCACAATAGAGTTAAAACTCGTTATCACTTGTGGTACACTCACATGCCACCGGTGTTCATTTACCGCGGAATTTCTCCGCCTGCATCAAATTATCCACCGAAAAAAATTGTGCTAAACTTCTAATTGAGTTTAGTGTAAGACGGGCAAGTAGGTATGGAACATGGATCCAATGGTGAAAATTAAATGGTAAAAATATTTATGTTTCTGTAGGAAAAAAGAATCATTTCTGGTGAAAATTTGTTCGATTTCAATACTCACAGACATATAAGCAACATTCCTTCGGTACAATTTATCTTTCTAGTTGAGGTTTATTTGCCATTGGGTCTACAGTGCAGGGATATTTCTATCTCGCACTCCTCTGAGATGCAGAGATAAGAAATTGTTATCTCTGCATCCCTCTGAGATGCAAAGATAAGGTCTCGAGGGTTCATAGCGAAAAATCAAGAGTTCAAGTGATGATGGGTCAATAACCGAACGACGTTTTTAATGGTTGTTTATGGATGAAACTTATGAAATAAGAACAAACTACTCTGAATCTATTTTTAAATAGATGAATACATTTAAATATAATATTTTATTAATCAAGAATAAACCTCAACATAGAAAGATATAGGATTCCTCATGGCTCACTCGTGGAAGATAGGATATCTTTTCCTCGCGTGTTACAGAAAAACCTCGCTCCTTCGTCGCTCGGTTTTTCAGTAACCCGCTTGGAAAAGATATCCTTATCTTCCACTCGGAGCCATGAAGAATCCTCTATATCCTCTAATAATGAAAATGAAAGACGGCTTAACAAGGCTTCTGAACTAGGACCTACATACAAGTACGCATTCTGCACGAATCTCGTATACTGCCTTTTTCGAAGCACTTGAAGTTGAGACCGACGAGCGACTGTATCAATGCGGCTAATGGTCGGTGAAAAGAGCGGCCGTCTTACCCTACCCAGTACCTACCCATGTGACCGTTTTACCTCATGGGGCTGGGAAGACGTTTTTTTTTGCAAGGTTTTGCAAAAATAGTTAATTTGTTGCATCAGTTCTAAGTTTCATCTTCTGGCAAATGGAAGTAAAATGTCGGAAAAGGGTTTCCTTTCAGTTTCGCGTCTCTATGTTGTTTCTAGCCGGCCGAAAAAATGGCTCCAAAGTTAGGGTGCCCGGCTTATTTCCCCTATACCTAGTGACTGGGATGTACCTAGGAGAGAGTGGGGCAAAGCGGCAACCCTAGGCAAAGTGGCCACCCATCGTTTTAGCCCTCCACAGCTGGCGTCAGCTCCAATTTATGGTTGTCAATTAAACTTCTCTTCGCGGTCGTTCGAATGAGCTAGACCTCGCGGTCGTTCCGGCCCATCGCCATTGTTCTGGGATACACGGAAAAGCATTTCTTGACAGGTTAGGGGAAAGTTGGGTAATATCGGCCAGTAGGTAATATCAAGATTACTTTACTTGGTAATATCGGACAGGCATTTATCTTCTGAACTCTCCACCAGGTGCATACGCAAATATTTTATGTGGAAAAAATGTAGCGCTGGATTTCCTTTGTCACCACCTCCTCTCGTAGGCAGTTTGCCGCTAGGCTGTCATATTTTTTTTACGATAATCACCATTTGTCCTTCCATCCATACAACTTATTAATTACCTGTTATCGCAGAGATAAAGAAGTTGTAACTGCCAAGTTGTACCTTTTCCACTTACCTGAACATTTTTGTTATCGATTATGGGCCAACTATCTGTGTTCAATATGTTTGTTGCTCCCATTTTGGCGCATTTTGAACGGCCTACGTGTTTGCTATTATCGGACACCTATCCGATACTACCCTATGGGGGGAGGTGTTTGAACCCCCTCCCCCTCTTCTAACTCGGCTCCTGGGCCACGGAGCGACACGCGGAAGGTGGCGTTCGAAAGAGCAAGAAGCCAATGCATAACTCGGGGACCAATATGAATATCAAGACTCTTGGGATCCATTTGGACACCCGTCCGTAATTTGCTGCTGCTGTCCGTTAATACCCAAGTAACTTTTTTTTTCTTTAAAAAATCGCTGCGCTCCAACGCAACACCGGAACCTCAGCAGACTTTCTAAAAACAAAGTTTTGGGCTTTCTACATATATTTAAATGACTCCCAGTTACATAAAAATGATAGCCTTCATGTTAGGATGGCTTAAAGTTACCCGTCCGATAATAACCAATTTTCCCCTACTAACTATTTTTTTACGATTTTCAAATGTTGTTTCATTCCAAAACCGTTTGGAATTTTATCTAAGCGATCTCTTTCATGCATTGCATGGCTAGGTATCGTATGTCGTTTACCAATTGTAATGCTTTTTGTCCCAGTAATAGCTGTAAGCTGAGCTGGAATATTTTTATCTCGGACGGTATGCTCGGGCAAAGTGGACGGGGCACCACCACACTTGTGGCGCAGTTGGCAAGTGCGTTCACGTTAGGTGTGGGAGGTCCTTGGATCAAAGCTGACCTCTGGCAGCGTTTTCCTCGGCCGGCTCCTACCCAGGAGATGGCAGTAACTGGGGAGTGTTCGCTCGGTCGTGGGGATTAACGCTGTGCCAGCCAGCGCCCCCGGCCGCAGGTACACGGGCCTGATCCGCCTTTAAACAGATCCTTCGGTCCGGTGACATGTCCCGAGGGCACGGCCTCGCTACATGTCCCGGAGCAGCCCTCTGACCTGCCGGGCCCGAGAAATCGGGATAGCCCCAGCGTGCGCTCCAATGCGGTGCCACCTGGGGTGCGTGACAGGAAGCGTGCGGTCAAGGCTGTCCCGCGTAGCGGGTGCCGAAAACGCTTCGTACCACTGCCGTGTATATAGTGTACTAACCCAGTATGAGTGTGTGCTACTAACGACAAAAAAGCCCGGGTCGGGCACCAAAAATATTTTTAAAAAAAAGTGGACGGGGCAAATAACCAGCTCCGAATGGACCATAAGTTGTTTCCATCTGGACAACAAACGTTATTGATACTGAAATGTGTCGTCATGCGTTCATCTCGGCCACTTTTTGGTTACATGAGTTCACAAATAATGCAATTAAATGTTTTTCCATGAGCATCCTTTCTTTGTATATCTACAGGTGGGAAGATGACAGATTAAACATCAATCTTCGTTTAAACCTTTTCACCATCAAATACCCTAGCCGTTTTGTTTGTCACAAGTTTTGCCATCTCACATACGAGTATGTGAACGCCTTTGGAAATGAAACGTAGTTGAAACAAGAGGCAATTAAATAAGGATCACATTGGTGTAGAAAGAATCTTTCGAAGATTAAAAATCAAGCGTCGGCATCGTAAGAAACGTTAAAGTGGCCGATTTGCCCCACTCTTCCCTACCTATATACATACAGCCTCAGTCCGCTGGTACTACAAAGCTACAGCCTACAGCGAAGAGAATGGATGCCCATTGCCCGCTGTGCTGAAGCGCCCGGTGAGAGCCTGGCCTTGAGCGCGGCTGAACGGTCCGCGGCAGAGGGCGGTGTGGGTCGGACCTACGCCGCGCCAGTGTGCTCTGTGCAGCGAGAGTGTCCGGGCGCCGCACAGGTGACGTTCTCAGGGGTGCGGAGTGCTGACACAACCCAGCTGCCGGCTCGGCGGGCCGGCTGCCACGTCAGTGCACGCGCGGTATGCGGTTGTAGAGGTCAGGCGCGTGCACTGTCACTGTGTGTGCGTGTGTGTATGTGTGTCCACCGTGCGTGCCCAAAGGACTCTCCGTCACAATCTCCAGTATAGTGTCAACGAGACTTCGTCACCGTTTCCCGTATTGCCCATGGGACTCTCCGTCACAACTCTTAGACAATCCACCTTCCGATGGCCTAAACGCTGTTACTTGCGTGTGCCATTACATCGAGACACGCGTTCACCAGTTTTGTCTCTCGGTATGTAAGCTCACCAATGCATTCCATCTGACACCACTGCCCTCACTCCGGGTGCTGCTGGCTGGTCCCACAGGATGGGCTCGGAGAAGGACGCCGATGACCCCCTGCTGAGGCAGATCGGGCGCATCGGCAAATGGCAGGCCATCACCTTCGTCGTCCTCGCGCTGTTCGGTGAGCATTCGTCGGCAGAGCTAAATCGCTTCAAACGACCCCACATGCTTTTTACCATTGGCGAGTGAAACTCGCACCTGGCATAACACTGCTGCAGCTATATTTCTCCAGCGCGAGTAGAGTACAACTCGCACCTGACGTAACATTGCCGCGGCCGTCCTGTAATCAAGTGTCTGATCAGTGATCAGTGATTGCAAATGCTGGGCCAATCAAAAATAAATCGTGAACGTACTCGTATGTTCCCTCCGACTTATGCATGGATTTTTGTAGTAGAGAAATTATGTGCTAAAGGAATTTCGTTAGCACAAAATACCAGACGACATGAAAGAGCAGGGACGTGAGAGGGATCGACGGAAGTCCATGCTCGGACCGTCGCGACCTGACGCCTGCGCCGCGCCTGCCGCAGCCGCGCCGGTCGCCTGGCAGATGCTGGTGGTGGTGTTTCAGTCGCCGTCCGGGGTCGATCACTGGTGCAAACGACCGGCCGCCTTCGCCAACTGGAGCGTCGAACAGTGGCGCAACTACAGTACGCCGTACACGACTGACCAGGTGGGCGCAGGGCCGACGGCGTGATGGGCCAGAGACGCACATACCAGGAGGGGCGATATAAAACACGTGACACCTACTGGCTGTGTCTGATACGGCACATCCGAAACAATGCGTAACATGATCGGTGTAACATGGATAAGTTTTCGTCTGTACGATACTAGCATAATATGACCTTTCCCATTGCGAATTGACCACGGGTAGGTGACCGAGTTCCCTGCCTATTTCTCGACATTCCGGTCTATGAGAGTCGCTGTTTCAAACACTTCCACTCCGGACGTCACCACTGCAGTGAGCAGCTGTTGCTCGGCTGCCATTTTCGAGTCACTGTTTTCTGAGCTGCGTGAGCAGAGCTGTGCTGTTATGACGTGTGATACGATTAATGATGTGTAGCAGAGGGGCTCACCGGCCGGCTGTGCGTGCAGGCCGGCGCGCTCCACTGGGACCGATGTCACGTGTACGCGCTCGACTACAGCACGGCGCCGCAGGAGCCGGTCCGGCCGCCCAACGGCACCGAGACGGCGCCCTGTCCGCGGCTGTACCGCGTCCACGGCCGCTGGGAGTTCGACCACTCGTTCTACCAGTGGACCATCCAGGAGCACGTCAGTCGATCACAACTGCTGCCGTATAGGCAGAGACATCACTACACTGAGACGCCACAGGGAATAATTTTTTAGCTACCAAGAAGTGTTCTTTGTGTCAATGCCTATGCCAGAGTAGGTTTAGGCATGCAAACGTTATACAATCATTGTGGCCTGCATATTATCCAGCATCTTGATCTTATTAATCTAGTGACAAGTGAATAAGTGACTTTATTCAGTGACTACTAATTCAGTCACGAGGCAGCATTTGTAACGCTTAACATGCCGCCTTTTATCCGGACGGCACTTTGTCTGCAGTTTGGCCTGGTCTGCGAGTACGAGTACCTGCTAGCGCCCATCAAGTCCTCCTACATGGTGGGCGTCATGCTGGGGGCCCTGCTCGGAGGCATGGCCTCAGACAGGTGAGACAGAGGCGTCAGATCAGCTACAAACCACTATCGAAGAGTAGAGTTTATATGGTGCCGCAGTGGTGTTAATTTAGTTGTCTGGTGTGTAAGCATTTAGTGGTTCATTAAGTTATTTAGGTACCGCATGTGCATGAATCAGTCCAACCGCAGTCCGAACGGAACATTCAGTTGTGTTGGACCGCACTTCGGCCAGTCTAACCGTGAACCGCTTACCGTCTGACCGCACTCCGGCCTATGCATATGACCGCAGTCCGGCCTATGTACCGCAGTCCGGCCTATGTATGTACCGCAGCCCGATCGAACTCTGACCGCAGTCCAGCCCATGTACCGCAGTCCGGCCTATGTACCGCAGCCCGATCGAGATCTGACCGCAGTCATTGGCCCATGTACCGCAGTCCGTCCTATGTATTGCAGTCCTATCGAACTCTGACCGCAGTCCTCGGCCCATGTGCCGCAGTCCGGCCTATGTACGGCAGTCCTATCGAGCTCTGACCGCAGTCCAGCCCATGTACCGCAGTCCAGCCTATGCACCGCAGTCCTATCGAGCTCAGACCGTCCCAGCCGACACCTGACCGCCGTCCGGTGTGCCCGGCAGGTTCGGCCGCCGCCCGGTCATCCTGGCGCTGCTGGGCACCCTGCTGCCCCTCTCCCTCCTGGTGGCTCTCTCTCAGACGGTCATGGTGTTCATAGTGCTCAGGTTCCTGGTGGCCATGGCCGTGGTGGCCGAGTACACCGCCATCTTCGTCTACTGTAAGTTCGTCCCGAGAATACTATAGTCTGTTCCATATCAAGCTTGCAGTTGGAGTTTTTTTCGGCAGATCGCTCCTCCGCTCAAGAATTTGCGTCTTAAAATGTAAGAGCTGTATATACAGAAATCACGCACTGCTTTCAGCAGGGCACTTCGGCTGCAAACTTGAAACGGAACAGAGTATAATGAGTATGAATGTACATACCTTCCAAGCGTCGGGCTGCGCCCCGATGAAGCGAGTGGTCAGTACTAGTAGTGGTCGATGTAGCGAGCTCACTTTACGTACAAATCGTCAGGCCGATTGTGTACGATCCTGTCATGCTTTCAGTACAGCGGCACTTTGAGTATGATGACGTTCTGTTTGTGGTATGGCTGAGTATAGCATGACGTAGTGAGTGTTGTATGGCGCTGTATCTGGCGCCCCTGGGTCCGATTATGGACGTCCCTGTGGGTGTGTTATGCGGCAGTGATGCTGCTCTCCGGCAGGTATGGAGATGGTCAGCGGTCGCTGGAGGATCATTCTAGGCATGCTCATCCAGCTGCCGTTCTCGTTCGGCTTTATGAGCCTGGCCGGGATCGGGTACGCGCTGACAGATTGGCAGCATCTGCAGGTGGCCATAAGCGCACCCATCGTCGTCTTCTTCTTCTACTACTGGTGAGAGAAAACTATGCACACTTATTTTATGCAAACTATGCACACTTTATGTCCTGATTCATCGGAGGCAAGGCCGTGATCATTGATCAGCTATGCACTGTCTCACTTTGCCAGCCTGCCAGGTTTCTGGTGAATAGGTACGAAAAAATCAACGGAAACGATATCCCGGTACGGACTGTGTGGATGAAACCGGCACGACTAAACATTTGTCCTCCACGATAAAGTCGATCATGATATAAGCTACCAAATCCAAACGACAGCCGACTCAGCAATGTCAATAATGTCGCTCCGTGGCCCATAACTGAACGGCGCTAAGGACCAGAAATGGGAGAGGCGATTTGGCCGGGCTGCGAGCCGGTTCCCGGCGCTCCTCTGGCCTCGGGCGCTCCATCCGTCGCCGCCCGGTACTAATCCGCGGCAGCTCAATGTCACCCCTAATCCTCTCCACCCGCCGGCTGGACGGACCGACCGACCATCGGCCGTACTGGGAGGCCTCAGCGACCGACCGAACGACCGACCGACCGACCGACCGGAAAGACCGACCGACCCGGACCGACCATCGGCCGCGCCGGGATGCCGCACCGACCACAGCCGAGAATACCGACAAAATGGCGCGCTTCCCTATCAAAATATCCAACTATCGGATAACCGTTTGCTCACAGTCGCCATACCCATCTCATCGCTATTGCTTATTAATTAGAAGTTTGAAATTCTATTGGGTAGGATACAGGGTAGTACGATGCGTTAGGCGTGAATCTGGGTCCTAGCCGTGTCGTTGCATGGTGCCAAAAAGCAGCATTATGCAGGGACATGCCTCACGCTGAATGGCATGTGGTCTATTTTAGACGGCCGTTCTTTCTGACGACGCCCGACCGCCTTTCAAACCCACTCGTGAAAGCCTTCGTGCCTTACCATATTGATGCCAAGAAGTGTTTGTGATTCCGTGCCGAGTTCGTGCGTTCCTGTGTGCGTGTGCCGTGTGTTGACCCGGTTGGAATCCTACAGGGCGGTGCCCGAGTCGCCCCGGTGGCCGCTGAGTGCTGGCGGCCTGTCTCTCGCCGCTTTGTGCTCGTGAGTCCGTGCCGCGCCGTGTGTGCGTATCGTGTGTTGACGTGGCCGCACGGACTCCCACCCACAGGGCGGTGCCCGAGTCGCCCCGGTGGCTGCTGGCGGCCGGGAAGGTGGACAGGGCGACGGCGCTCATCGAGTCCATAGCCGAGATCAACGGCAGAGAGTTCGACCCCGACATTCAGCTGGTGCCACCCGTGAGTCGCCTCGGCGGTGGACTTCGAGAGCGATAACATAGCATATTTTCACTCTCCAACAATCTCGTATGTCCTTATTACACAAAACATGAATTCACAGTATGTAGGCGCGCAATCAGTCACTGTTTTGTTACGCAATATCCCCTCGATTTAACCTTACAACCACAACACCTGACATGATTGCACTGAAATACGGTGCACGATGTACAACACGGTATACGGTTAGTCATAGCGCGTAAGATTATGTATGCGATTATGATACCGGCTGTTGTTTATACTGAGGGGGTAAGCGGTGCGATAGTCGATGCGCCATCGTATGACACGATTACGTCTCTCGGTTCGGCGCGTTCCCTGACCGGCCCCGTTCCGCCTGTTCCCCGCCCGCCGCGACTCAGCACGAGGGACGGCGGCACGTCAGCGTCCTAGAGCTGCTCCGCTCGCCGGCCGTCCGCTACCGCACGCTCAACCTGTGGTTCAACTGGACGGCCAACGTGCTCGTCTACTATGGGCTCATCTTCTCGTTTGTGGACGTGGGCGACGACATCTACCTGAGCACGGTGCTGGGTGGTCTGGTGGAGGTGCCCGCCTACCTGATCGGCATCGGCGTGTGCCTGCTGCTCGGCCGGCGACTGCCCATCGCCGGCACCATGCTGCTGGCCGGCGGCTGCCTGCTGGCCACCATCGCCGTGCCCAGAGGTGGGTCTGAGGGGCCGCCATCGCCGTATGTCAGGCCCTGTGGGGAAGACGTGCTTCTTTTGAACCATTTCTTTGCGTCGCTTGCATGGTGGAAATTAACAAAGCCGTACGTTTTGTTGTTTTCTTTTTTTTTATTTCAGCTTCGTGTTTCCCGTGCTTGACGATTTTTTGCACTTCCACGGATACCGTCCCAGTTAGTTCTTGTTTCACGCAATTTCTGCTTTGTCTGGCCATGAGATTTCCAGTTTTCAAGCGGGATTTGACGAGTATTGCCTTCTGCCTGCCCGCCAAGGAACTTGCGTACCTACCTACCTACCCCCTGGCAACTACACCTCTTGGGAGGTAATTGCAGTCAGCCTGTCCCGGCTGGACGCCGCTGACTCAGGAACTCAGTAATCTTCTGGAGAGCGACACGAGCCCTCGGTTCGGGTTTTTACTGACACAGGAAGGGAAGGGCCGAGGGGAAGAAAAACAGGTGTCTGCCGACTGTGTCACTGGATGACAACACGTCGGCTGCCGGGTACGCGCAGAGTACTGACATCGACATGGGCGCGAACTAAAAGTGTTGATTACTGCCATAGACGTAGCGGCCTTCGCTAAATCACCATGACCTACAAATCACCATCGGTGCACACTTCCCCGTGACGGAAGATGTCTGCGCTAATGTACCTTTAAGGGACGACGAGCATGTCTTATCCCGTGAGCCAATGTCAGCATTTTGTCCCCACTCCCGCTGCGACATCTGCACGGATGCGGTTTTACCTGCAGTCGCAAGCTTTAATCCATCAGAAATAGCTGCACTACAAGGCCGTATCTTCTCAGTAACATTCCTCTAGCTATTCGATCAGCAGATTCTAGCTGTCGTCCGGCATAGAACTAAAGATCTTGAAATTGATCGCCCAGTCACATACTTTTGGTATTTCTTTTAGTTTGCAGACTCCGAGCTCTAACAATAGACCGAGCTTACTGTGTGCCTGTCCCAAATAACTCTGCTGCTTGCGGGCGCACGTACAGAAAAATCCTGCCGATTGTTACGGCTATTCTTACACGGTGCACAGTACGCACACGTTGGTGGTCTCGACCGACTAGGTGACGAGTCACCCTCTTCTGACGGAGCAGCAATAGTACCTAACTCTGGTCATCAGATGGGGAACGCTGTGACCTTGGAGACACCTGCATTAACTCATTCGCAGAACTTCAGGATGCCTGACGAGCCCTGCACACCCGGAAACCAAATTGTGAATCGTGCTAATTGTGCTAATCAGATGACAGGCTCGACCATCATGGGCTGTGTAGTGTGTACGTACCTAAGTGTAGTGTGTAACTTTACTTTGTGCTGTGCGACTTTTCTGCATGAACTACATAGTTATGTGACATGTGTCCATTCCATGCTTATCTACCTATGCTTATCTACATGTATATAGGCATAGGTATTCTATGCCTATATACATATGTCTAAATCTGTACTCTTGGTGTCGGTGAAATGGTAAGGTGTCCTGCTGAGGACGGTATGCCGTATGACGCAGTCGCTGTATGACCCGCGTGAGTTTCTTACTATGCGCGGTAGTTGTTGCATGACCAGTGTGTGTGTCTGTGTGCCGCAGGAGTGTTTGCCAGTGACTAGCCGCTGCTGAGGTCCCTCAAGCGCTATAAGACCGGTGTGTCTGTGTGCATCTGTCGCTCAGGGGTGTTTGCCCGTGACTGGCGCGCCCTCGGTTGCTGTATGGCCATTGACCAGTGTGTCTGTGTTTGCCGCAGGGGTGTTTGCCCGCGACTGGCCGCTGCTGCTACTGACCCTGATGGCCCGGTTCTGCATCACGACCTCGTTCGGCGTGCTGTACGTGTTCTCGGCGGAGGTGTTCCCCACGGTGCTGCGTAACACAGGCGTCAGCTCCAGCTCCACGTGCGGCCGGATCGGCGCCATCGTGGCTCCGTTCGTGGCCGACATGGTTAGTGGACGCCGACACTGGCCGGGCACAGACTCGGACAGTGGCGCTGAAAGACACTGACGGCACCGACACGGACTCGGACATACAGTGTCACGGACCCGGGTAGGTACACGACTACAGGGTGGAAAGAAAAATATGTTCTGATTTTAACAGCCCGTCACATCAAATCGAGTAGTAATATCTCAAAATGAATTAGTGCATTTGAATCACCTTTTCTGGAAGTTTTATACCTGGTGTCATTTACACTCTTTCTCGCTCCTGGGCGTCCCCCACAGCACGTGTTCTGAGTAACCTCTTTTTCGCAGAATTTAGAGATATGTGTACCGCGCAACCTCCGAGATGAATTCAGCGCACAAATCGGGTGGATTCTACGTGCGACCTTCCAAATCGTCTTCATCACGTTCGGGAGACTCTCTGGGCTCATGGCTGGCACCTGTGATTTTTAAACCCCACAGATAAAAACCAGGGGCGTCGGGCCTGAGAAGAGGGCTGGCCATGAAATTTCGGTTTTTTTGACTGGTCACGTGCCCTCTAAAGTGTTCCTCCGGCCAGGAGAGGCCCGCTCTTTACGTGCTAGGTGGAGCCCCGTCTTTTTTGGAAACAATTACTCAGTTAAAACCTTCAGGGCTGCCACTATTTAACGCTAGAGCCTCTCCAGCACCCGAGCGTAGCGTTCCTTGTTGACGGTGACCGTGGTGCCTTTCGATGTTTCGAGGGAAACGGTCCGAATGAGCGGTAAAATCAACCCAGAACTGTCAAGTTTGGGCTTCATTCCCTCTGGGCAAACGTTATAGAGCCCTCTGCACAGTCTCACATTGACGTAATGATGTGTTATGTCCACCGCCTGTCTCATCGGACCGTTTTCCCTCGAAACATCGAAAGGCACCACGGTCACCGTCAACAAGGAACGCTACGCTCGGGTGCTGAGAAGGCTCGGGCGTTAGATAGTGATAGCTCTGGAGGGTGTAACTGAGTACACTGTTTCCAAAAAAGACGGGGCTCCATCTAGCACATAAAGAGCGAGCCTCTCCTGGCCGGAGGAACACTTTAGAGGGCACGTGACCAGTCAAAAAAGCCGAAATTTCATGGCCAGCCCTCTTCTCAGGCCCGACGCCCCTGGTTTTTATCTGTGGGGTTTAATGAAATCACAGGTGCCAGCCATGAGCCCAGAGAGTCTCCCGAACGTGATGAAGACGATTTGGAAGGTCGCACGTAGAATCCACCCGATTTGTGCGCTGAATTCATCTCGCGAGGTTGCGCGGTACACATATCTCTAAATTCTGCGAAAAAGGGGTTACTCAGAACACGTGCTGTGGGGGACGCCCAGGAGCGAGAAAGAGTGTGAATGACACCAGGTATAAAACTTCCAGAAAAGGTGATTCAAATGCACTAATTCATTTTGAGATATTACTACTCGATTTGATGTGACGGGCTGTTAAAATCAGAACATATTTTTCTTTCCACCCTGTACATACATAGACTGATGCGCAATCATACCTTCAATTAAACTAACACACCGGCAGTCGGCACTGACAAATGTCGACACTAACATCAATGCTGAATACATAGGCACGAAAAATGACTCTGACGCAGACACTGGCACATATCGACAGTGACACAGGACACTGACGACTGACGAGTGACGAAGACCGTGACATTTAGTTACCGCCCCCGGACCCTGAGGCCTGACAGGTCGGGGGGCCAACTGCGGGAAGCCAGCATCACACCGGCCAAAATGGAATAAGGTAGCACATCGTCTCATGCATTACAAATAAATGTGTCAGACCATTTTTCAGCCAATCGTAACTCTCCTTGTCGACTTACCCGGTCTTGAACCCCTTGGTAATTTGGCTAATTAGCAAAATATCATTTTATCGAAAATTCGATAACTTTACGAATATGGGGGAATAGGCATTCATGTATGTACTGATGAGCAATGAGTATAAAGCCTGCACGTTGCTGTGCCTTTCGTGGGAGGGTCTCACCGATCGCGGTACGGCTGCAGGCGCGGACAATGGACACCGCTGTTCCTACGCTATTGTGCCTGTTGTGTGAATGTCTGACCGGTGACCGCAGGCGAAGACGTACAGCCCACAGCAGAAGTAATGTGTGGTTTCAGTCATGGGTATGTTCTGCTTCTGAAGCTTAGGAACGATTAGCCAGACTACAATGAAACTTTGAATGTAGCTTATATGTATCGTCACCCTTGCAGCTGCAACTTTAGCTATTGACATCTTCTTTTCGATCACTCCGCATTAAACAATCGCCAGTCAAAGCCAACCGTTGAGATTGGTAAAACCCTACATTACTTTAGCGGTGGGCTGTACGTGCACCTGCGCCGCTGTGCCTGCTGTGTTAATGTCTGGCCGATGACCGCAGGCGAAGACGTACGTGCACCTGCCGGCCGTGGTGCTGGCCGTGGCCGCGCTGGCCGGGGGCCTGCTCATCCTGGTCCTGCCAGAGACCACCGGTCACAAGCTGCCCGACACGCTCACAGAGGCCAAACAGCTCGGCAGGTAAGGCACTCGCTACCCCGAGGCACGGGAGGTGCCTTACACCTATTGCGGAAATAACGACTTTAATGTAGTTTTCCGGCCCACGCCATTTCAACAATCCTGTACGGGTTGGTGAAAGAAAAGGTTAGCATTCTTTATCACTTGTCATTTACAATTTTGTCATGTTCCGCATTATTCAATTGTGTTTGTTTGGTGATGGTATTTAGGGTTCGGAAACAAAATGAGGCATATCGAAGAACATACAGACGACTCAATGTCGCCTTAATTACACAGGTGGTTCTTTTCAAAGCATTCTGTAGAAATCAAGGCCAGTGTAGAAGGTAAAAGGTTCTTAGAGTTCTGGTGAATCGATTTAAAATGCACCCATTAGGAACATAACCTCCCGATATCTCGTTTCTGACCTGTCCGAACCCTGCCCTCAAATGTTGCAGTGACACCAAGAACGGAGCTGTGCCCGCGCGCCCGGTGCCTACCCTGAAGACCACCCCTCCGGCCGAGCAGTACAACAACGCCGCGTTTGAGGGTGACGGGGAGACTGGCGGACGGGACGGAGCGAAATGAAGGTAGAAATAAAGCGGACTGAAGATACGGATGGAGTGGAATGCGTTTGGACTGGAGCGGAATGGGAGCGGACTGAGGCCCAGCCAGAGCGGACTGAGGCGGTAAGGAGAGGGATGAAAATGAAACAGCGCTACGTCGCCGAGACAAAGCCGGTTGAGACTGAGAAGGAGCGGACTGAGAGCAGAATGGTCGCACCGAGAGCGGACCGAGAGCGGACTGAGAGCGGAACGGAGCGGACTGTGAGCGGAATGGAGCGGACTGAGAGCGGAAAGGAGCGGACTGAAGCGGACTGAGATCGGGATGGAGCGGAATGGAGCGGACTGAGATCGGAACGGTTCGGACCGAGAGCGGACTGAGATCGGGCTGGAACGGACTGAGAGCGGACTAAGATCGGGATGGAGCGGACTGAGGCCTTGACGGAACATTCAACATACTGAGGCCGAGTTGTAGAGAAATAAGGACGGAATAAAGCGAGCCGTTGTCGGTCGGTAACCGACAGGCGCCACTGTGAAAACTGATAGCTGTGCACTGGGGAGGAAGCAGCGAGGTTTTATGACGAAATGCCTTTCTTACGAAGGCAGTTTTAGTAAAGTGTGATGAGTGAAGTGTTTGATCTGATTATATTTTAGGGCCTTGGATCTGATCCGTGCAGATCTAGCTGCATCCGATCAACAAAGCTTAGACTCTAGCGGGGAGCGAGCCGAGTGTTGTATGTTACGTGGTACGGTGGAATCCGCCTAATAAATCCACCTTGGTGACAAGGTGTTTTGGATTTATTAAGCGGTGGCTTTATTAACCGGTGCACAGTAGGCGATTTCGCTATCCTAGCACTTCATGAGTTATATCTTAAGTTAGACTCAAAACCAGTCATCTTTAAACCCCTTATTTTGTGCCTAGTTTTATTGCGCTTCAACTGATATAAGTATTTGCATCAGAAGTAGTCGGGTTTTCTTTGCAACGTGCAAGAGAGCGAGCAATGCCTTTTCCCCATAGGCTTAACACAGGACAGAAGAGGCCTAGCAAAAACATATACAGTGTTGTCTTTGTTATGACTTACTTCTCAACTATAGTTCATTTTTTTTTCAAAACCGGTTTGGCTCCAAGTACGTTCTTCGACTAAGCACGCGTTTTAGCCAGCGAAACGGCCAAAAACTGAACTTGAGAAAATCGAACGTCGCCTTATTTTAACATGTGAATCATTCCCGATAAATTCCATACGTGCTTTTTAGAACTAGACATTAGAACAGTGGTGATGTCATGCTGTGAAACTTTCATTGCAATGTAATGTATACCTACCATAAACAGAACCGTTTACTCGATTCTGACCACGGCAACAGTGAAAAATGAAGCTTTCCTAAAACTTGTCGACATTTGGTGCCACCGTAGGGACATTGGGAGCCAGCTGCCACCAGTGACGTCATCATAGTATGATGATTTTTGAAGATACAATTTCCATGTATTTACCGAACATAATTTGAAACTGAATATTTTACCGGTAAGAAATTATTGACCAGACGCTGATGTTGCCAAAACTCACGTGAGACCTTCGATAATGAACTTGGAGCCAAACCGGTTTTGAAATAAAACGAACTATAGCGTCAGTTACGGATGAACCACTTGATCGCAAACCACGTGAGCTGGTTTTGCAAAGAAAACATTTTTGCAGAGGCGCTTTCAGACTGGTCTGTTTGGGGGAAAATAGTACCAATAGACTACCACATTTCAGGAGATCGCAAATTATCGTGTTTTAGGGAGAAGGTAATTATCAGTGAAATGGAAATGGTTTAGCGTTGAAATTGCATGTAAGCAAAGCTAAGATGCAATTGCAAAGCAAAAAAGAGGAGACCATGACTTGCGAAAAATTGTGGTTGCTTGAACGTTCCGATCACATGTTCAACAAATAAATAGCTTTAGCTAGTGTCCTGTCTACCTACAACGTAACGCTTATGTTTGGTGGTTGGGATTCAAAGTTGCGAAATGAATTTACGCTAACAAAGTTAAAGGAAGGAGTAGGAATTTCGCTTTCCGTTTGGCCTCTAAATGAGTTAGAACTTCGGTGCAACGTGGGCATGCTGCTCTCCCCGAACGGAAGCCATTTCTATACCTACCCGATTGTAAGTTTTTTTTAGGTCAGAGTTCCCAGGTCACGAAAATGGTCGAAGGAGGTCAAATTGCATACCATTCGATTCGGCAGATCTTCCTGAGTTCATTGGTGGCTTGCCTGAATCGCTAGCTCAATTTGATGGGGAGTTATGGACCAAAAACTATAATGACCAGATCATAGTGACGTCATAAATGACGTCACGCAAGTTCAACAATGCAAAAGTAAAGCATCGAACCTTGCAAAAGTAAAGCTTGAACTAGTTTGATATCGTTCCCGGCGCCAAAATAGCAGTGTTCATTTTACAACATTAACTCACAATGGTGAGACGTCATGTGATCGACCTGACCTCATGTGACCTTTAGGGAAAATCCGAGACATACAAACTGTGAATCCTCTGGAGGATACTAGGTTCTGTAAGTTTCATCTCCATGTGAAAGCTGCTCTGGCATTGAGGGCTTTGCGAAGTTGCGACATCTGAGGATCGTGCAGAGGTTCACTTATGACGTCATTGGTCCGTGAACTGACCTGACCTAAAAATGTAGTTGGTGTCACAAGATTCGACTTGAATCAAAGGTCAGGTATGCCAAGTTTCAGTTTTCTATCGCTGGCGAGTTCGGAGCTGTCGCGAACAGAATCTTCGGTTGGGCGGCGGTACTTCGCCCCTCCCCTCGGCCCTGTCCCCACCTTATACGGTAAGGGTTGAGCAAAACGTCCATAACTCCGTGAATCGCAAAAAGTGGCAGCCGATTTTTGCAGGATATTGAGACCAAACACCAGGCTACTATGTAATGGTATTTTTGTTACCGAATCTCCTGGATGGTAAAAGATGCGCATTGCCAAACATGGTTAACAGTATTGATCTGATGCAGTTAAAAGGTGTGCTGCGAAAAATTATTAAAAATATAGATAAGCTTCAAAAGTAAAATTTGTGTGATGCATACTGCTTACAAGGAATGTGGCTTCAAATGAAATTACGGTTTTTAAGATAATTAACTTTTGTCTTGATTTACAGCCCTCATTGTAACTAGGGTCAAATCACGACCCGGTACCGTAGCTCAGCTTCTCCAACAAGTTCGTGTTTGGACGTTTGTGGTTTTAATGTGTGTGGTTTGGTGTAAAAAAGTGTCACATTTCAGATGCTGGGATATTTAGCTACAAAATACGCCAGTATTTATTCATATTTCCCATCATTTTTTGGGGGCCCCTGAAGCGCTAGAATGCATGGATCGCCTACAGTGCGGTGTCAGCTATTTTCATTAAAAAGCATGTATCGCAGCTGCACGTTCCACTTCCGTTCTCCTGCACTACAAGCGGATAGGCTTGCTTTCCTCATTGTCTTACTTATTCCAATGAAAGTGACCACGGGCTCCACCGCACCGGTGGGGTCACGGGGGCCGGACCCCCAATAATTTGACTTTCGTAATGTAGCCTTATGCATAAAGGCGTGCGTTTTAGGGTTGGACATCCCCCCCATCCCCCCACCCCCCACCTGCGACCGTAGTGGAGCCCCTGAAAGTAACCAGCGCACACGCAAAGCTGTCACAGCGATTAAGTCGACATGCCCGATCCACCCCACGATCACTCCCCCGTCATGCCTGCTATGCCAGCGAAACAGTTGAGGGTGCCTGCTTTGCCGGGAACATTTCTCTGAGGTGCTTGGTGATGGCGCTCTTGATACCCCTGAACTCCCTTCTGTCGTGGGAAGTCCAACTGCTGCAGACCGCTGCTCCAGTGCGGTTCTTTTTGAGCTGGTTAGATGCCACATTTTGAATGGCGAGATGTCACTGCGGACTTCGAAACTCCCAAGTGGCTTTATTAAGCGGAGTACGTGGATTTATTAAGCGGATTTTTTTTTTTACTGCAGGTAACTATGGAGAAAATCCGTGAACAGCTCAAGCGGCCACAATAAGCGGCTGGATACATTATCCGTGGATTTATTAACCCGCGCGGGGCTGGGGGGGGGGGGGTAAATTTTACCCCCCTCGCGAACTTTTGCAATATCTCAAAAACGGCGGCGCGCAGCGCCGCCAAACTTTCAGTACCTTTTCTGACATCAATTTGACACGTTCTCTGAAAATTTGAGCGAAATCCGTCGGAAAATTTTTGAGAAATTGACGTTTTAGTGACGTCATGTTCGCCATTTTCGCCTCAAAAACGGCAAAATTTCAAACGCCGCTAACAACTTCATTTTAAAAGGAATCAAGGCGTAACAAAAAAGGTTATACGTAATTCTACTTTGTCTATCAAATGGCTATCTCGGGTTTTTGAAAATTTTTGATTTTGGCCCGAATTTTTCCAAAAAACTAACTTTTTGGGGAAAATAATTATAAAATCCAAAATTTTGAGTGTATCGAAAAAACCGGAATATATGTCATAGAAGTGGTCTATGTGCACCTACATACCAATTTTTAGAAGAATCGGTTCAAAAATGTGGGAGTTATTAAACATTTTATGACGTCACGACACACACAAAATTTGAAATGATTTTTTTTGGAAGTTCTAGACCTCGTACGGAAACAAAAATAGCACCATTCGATTTGCCGTGAAAAACTGCATCAGATAGACACCTTTTTAGGCCTTAACAACCAACTTTAAAAATTGACCTCACTTGACCTGACCTTGACCTGACCTCGGCCTGAAATTCATCCAGAGGTGGTCCATATCACTTATTGAGTGTGCCTATTGAATTCTATGAGTAAAATCACCCATAAAACATGTGTCGCACATGCCCTTTTCTATATTTTGTTTTTGGTGACCTGACCTGACCTGACCTTGACCTTGACCTCTGAATGATATTGTATGCAACGAATATTGTCTTGGTAGCCTAAGAACACGTTTTGGGCAATCAGTCTCAGTCCATGACTCCATTCTTCGGCAACTACGGTGCAAGGCCGATACTGTAGGAACTTGCAATTTGTACCCTTGATCTGACCTTGACCTTGACCTCAAACTTTAAATTAAGTACATGTTTTTAGTTGTTCGTGATGAGATCTTTCGATTGGCGTTTGAATTTTCTAAATCGGACCATTAGTTCGGGAGATAACAGGGGGGGTAAAATTTGCACCCCCCCAGCCCCGCGCGTTCGGCTGGAGACCCCAGCCCCGCGCGGGTTAAGCGGATTCCACTGTAACATACAACACTCGGCTCGCTCCCCGTGCCAGTGCCAATCTTCCAGGTTGGCTCTCATAATAATTATCGATCGTTAGAGATGGTCGATCGTCTAATCGACAGCCCCATGTCAGCTTCTTTGTATAACGCATGAAATGAAAGCTCAAACGGCAAATTTTCTTTTCTACCGAACTAAAACTCGTCCCAATAGGAGCAACTGTGGGCAAAACTGTATCGACATTAAACTTTTTTATATTTATATAGCCAAGGAACCGTAGACAAATAAATCGTAACAACGCACCACTTGGTATCAGAACAGTCGGCGTGGCACGGCCAAACGCGGGACCGTCAAAACCTTCACCCTGACATCACTAGGATAGAAAGCACGCCGCACGGGCACACGACCACCCCCTACAGAACCCTCCCCTTCCTCACAGTGACACCCACATTAGCCCGCCAGTCACCGCGGCTCAGCTAATCCAATGCCTGACTACCAGTCAGCACCCAGGCGCATCGTTCGTACATACGCACTGCGTAGTTAGGGTTGAGTGGTGGTGGTGGGTGTTTGCCAACTAATGCACCCCCGGGCTCCGGGAGGGCGGCATTTTTTCGCAGTTATGCAGATTGCACGCCACCCCAGAGGCGGACGCTTGCCGCACCCCATTGAGACCGGTATTCAGTACACACCGTTCGAACCGGTACACGCCGGTATTCAGTATATTCCGCCCAGGCGGATATTCAGTACATACCGGTCTGCAGCCGGTATTCAGTACACCACGCTCTGCTGCAGCCGCAGCACTGCCGGTACGGATGTGCAGGGGATGGCTCCCAGCTCCGTCACCACCACGTCCACCAGCTCCGGCGGCGTGACGTCGTAGGCCAGGTTCAGCAGGCTGAGCGACTCCGACTGGCGCAGGTCGGCCAGCGGCGAGTCGGGCGTCACCAGCTCGTTCGGGTCACCTGGCGGAGCGGCGGGCCGGCGGTCAGGGAGGGACAGGACAGCCGGTCAGGGGTCACACCTTGGGAGGGCAACCGACCGCGGTCAGGGAGGGAGCAGGACGGAGGACCGGCGGTTCCACGCAGGGAGGGCCGGAGCAGCAGACCGAGGATCAGGGACGGACAGGGCGGCAGATCGGCGGTCAGGGAGGGACAGGGCAGCAGACCGCGGTCAGAGGAAAGGTAGGTGGCGCAAGGCAGTCCAATCACGACCACACGTGTGAGGGAGGAGCGCAGAGATACGAATACATATGAATAAAATTTTCACTTGATACAAAAATGGATGGAAGCATTGCATTCTTGCTTCGCAGAGAAATCATCACCGGCGTAATTAATTCGCCCCTTTAACCCTCGCGGGCCCGGGGGGGGCGTTTTTCGCCCCCCCCCCCCTGGCGAATATTTGCGATAACTCCAGAACGCTTAGGGATAGGAAGGCGAAACTTTCAGTACCTTTTCTCCCATCAATTTGACATCTTCTGAAGTAAAAAATTTGGACCTAACCCCCTTGATGACGTCACAAGGTCCATTTTTCTAGACCCCTGCACGGCAAACTTCGGCGTCACAGACGCAAACTTCAAATAGCTGCTAAAAATAGAGTTTTAGAGATAAAGACAAATTACGAGCACGGCTGTGTAGCGTTTGACCTAGAGAAAAATAGAAAAATAGTTTTGGTGACCTGAGGTCAGAGGTCAGGTCAACGACCCCGAAATGTGGTTTTAGTTTTTCGCAAATAACTTCGACAAAAATGGTCCTAGAGCTACGGCAGTGGTACCATCGCATTCGCCTTGTCAAGCCGCGTCGAATAATGTATATTTTGTTCGGAAAAGGTCAAGTTTCATGTTGACCTCATGTGACCTCGAATGACCTCTGGTTGACCTTGACACATTAAAGGTCGTTTATGATGGATTTGTACCCGCTGATCACGAATCTGGCATCTATTTTCCTCTAAGCCTTCATTTAGAGCTTCCGGATGGCAAAATTGTCTTATTTATTATTACTAACTTGAATCAGTGAAATAGCCTCTAGCAGGGATACTCTTCTGTGACCTTGACCTTTGAGCAGCCTTGTATCGTAAGATGAACCACAAATAGGGAACTGATAAGCCTCAAAACATTTCAAAACATCTTGGAAGTTAGCACGCAAGATGTGCGAAAAAGTGCCAAGTTTGAGGTCAATTTTGAGCGTGACCTTGACCTTGACCTTTAATTTGGAGCACATTTTCAGAATCCTCAGATTCTCTTCTTTCGTTTGACACCCAATTTTGCCGGTTTGATGCAGCCTGCCGTCCTCTAGAAGGCTTACTTTGAGATCACTACACATGTGCCGGTTTTGGCCTTTGACCTTGACCTCTGACCTTGAAAATTGACCTGAGGTCAAAAATTTTAGGTGCATTAGAATCGTCTCGTAAGGACCTTTCGTTTGGTATCGCTTTTGTTTCCATAGCTCCCTTATTTACGGAGTTAGACAGGGGGGGGGGGGCGAAAAACGCCCCCCCCCCGGGCTGCGGTGGTTGGGATTACCCCCCGGGCCCGGCCGGGTTAATCAAAGCTCGTCGCCCACGTCCCCAGCTAGCCAGTTCAGCCTCACCTAGTTCGTTGTAGACCTGGGAGTCTGTCTGCACGCGGTCCGAGAACTTGTACGTCTCGCAGCAGACGAGCACGGGACGGTTCAGGGCGCGGCCGGTCAGACTGACGAGCGCCGTGCCCGCGCGCGATAGCACCATGCCGTTAGAGAGCAGAGCCTGGGCGCCCAGCAGCACCTTGGTGGCCTGCGGGGGAGCGGGAGTCACACGTGTCAGTGTTATCGTCGGGGAGGGATCACAATCGCAAAGGGCGAAAACAGAAACAGACATGTCACTAGAAGGTTTTTTTGTACCGCCTGTACGAACTGGCATGGCTCGAATCCTCCGCCATGGATATTCGTGTAACGTCCAATTTCACCTATTGGATGTCTTTACTTTCTACCTGCTCAGCTGAGTGAGCCCCTCTGTTCGCGGGGTCTCACCTCCTTCATATGGTGTCCGATGGCCGTGAGCAGACCGTACGAGCACGGTACGTTCGCGTCGAGCAGCTGTCGCAGCATGTCGCGTCCGTCCAGCCGCGGCCGAGAGTCCACCACGATCACCCGGAACCGGCAGCCCTTCCGCTGCGCCGCACTCAGCACGTCCAGCACCGTTGTGGACCTGCAGCAGGCCCGACCGGGTCACAACTCACATGTCAGGTCACCGGGGAGGGGGGGAGGGAGGGAGGGAGGGAGGGAGGGGGAGGGAGAGAGAGAGAGAGAGAGAGAGAGAGAGAGAGAGAGAGAGAGAGAGAGAGAGAGAGAGAGAAAGAGAGAAAGAGAGAAAGAGAGAAAGAGAGAAAGAGAGAGAGAGAGAGAGAGAAAGAGAGAAAGAGAGAGAGAGAGAGAGAGAGAGAGAGAGAGAGAGAGAGAGAGAGAGAGAGAGAGAGAGAGAGAGAGAGAGAGAGAGAGAGAGAGAGAGAGAAACCGGCTCATCGCACCACCGTGGGCTGTCACAGAACATGAGGCCTCACGACAAACGTGGCTGCTGAACATTCACTGCAGTTGACCAGATGGGACGTCCCTGACCACTGCAGCTGGTCAAGAGTGGAGGGTCACGAGCGGATCAACCTGCTGACCTCCTTCCAGCGGCGTCACCACGGTTTCAGAACTTCTAGGGACACTTTTCCAGGGCGTCGCCACAAACCTTTGCTTGAGTCTGGTCGCCAATACCCACCTACCCCAAATCTGCGTTCCTCGTTGGATTTCGGCCACTTTAATTTAAAAACTAGGTAGAATAATTGATATTTATTTTGGAAAAAACGAAGAATGTACGCGGTAGTAGGCATATTCTTCGATCATGAAACGCGTGCCCATATCCTACTGCCTATGCATGTGACACATTGGTACTTTCAGAATGCATTTAATCCTATAAACGGCTCCAACTGCTCATCTCATCCTTGAGCTGCTCTGCTCGCAAGTCCTCGGTTCTCAGCGGTTTGATTCCCATCTCAATGACGGTACAAACCGACCGAGTGCACGAGTCGAGGTCGATGTCTGCGGTCACTTTTTGGCTTTGCCCTTCTTTCACTGTCTTCAAAGACAAACGGATCAGTCCATCCACGTGCGGTATTTCGGGCCCCGGGCGATGCCGCACCTCGAACTCGAAATTGAGCAGCCTCAATGCATTCCTCAAGTCACAAGTCATCAGGAGCATTTGGGTTCCGTCGGGACCCTAGTATGGGCCCTCAGATGTCAGTGTGGGGCTCTTAAAGACGGGTATGGGTCCTCAGAGACCGGCATCGATCCTTCAGAAGCCAGTACGGGCCCTCAGAGGCACATAAGTGCCAGTCTTGGGTCTCAAAGACAAAAACTGAGCAATCAGAGGCCGGTGTGTTTAGAGGTCGGTTAATGGGCCTTAGAGACCAGTTTAAGACACTCAGAGACCAATACAGGGCCTAATGGCAGTTTGAGACCACCAGAGGCCGACTTGGGCTCTCAGAGGCTAATGTGATCCCTACAGGCAAGCATGGAACCCTCAGGGGTTAGTGCGGGGCCCTTAAAAACGGCGTGGGCTGGCGTTGGACCCCAGATGCCAGCAGAGGGCCCTCAGAGGCCAAGATGGGCCCTTACAGCCCAGCATTGGGGCATCAGAGGTCAGTGTGGGGTCCTAAAAGACCGGCATGAGCCAGCGTTGGACCCCCAGAGACCAGCAGAGGGCCCCAAATGTCAAAATAGGCACTAAGAGGCCGATGCAGGCCCTTAGAGGCCGGCATCGGGTCCAGAATCCAGTATAGGGCCCTCAGGGACACCTAAAGGTTTGTTTTGGTAGCCCAGAGACAGAAATGATGCCACCAGACACCGATGTGAGGCCCTCAGACGCCGGATGGGCCCCTGAGGCCGGTTTAGGGGCCCTGAAAGGCCAGCGGAAGGCCCTCAGTCAGAGGTCAATGCGGGTCCTCCACGGTCAATGTGGACGCTTGACCACCACGGAAGGGTCATCAGAGGTCAGCGTAGGACCCTCAAAGACCGGTATGTGAGCTGTTAATAGCTGGCGTGGGTTTCTTGAGCCTCGTGACAGTCGAATAAGGGCCGGGGCCCCATACGCCCATGGGGGCCCATCGCTTGTTTTTTTTTGGGGGGGGGGGCAAATGATATGAGGGCCCCCTGTTTTTCCTTTGAGGGACATGGTCCTGATGTCCCCCCCCCCCTCTACTTGCCGTCTCCGATCCCCACTCAGATGTTCCAGAGGGAATTTTAGGAATGAGATTTAGGAAATGTTGGCTTGACCAGCGGCCGGCCCAGAGCGGCGGCCCAGTACCGCCCTGATCCTGACCTCGCCGGGTCCATGCGCACTGTGGCGACCAGCCCCTTATTTGTGCAGCTGAGTCTGCCCCAGCTCGTAACCGGCGCGGGGCAGCTGCATGTCGTCATCGGTCGGGTTTATAAGCTGGACCTGGATGTGACCAGCCGAGTTCGTTTCAGCAATCATGCTGGGCACCTCCAGAATCGGCTCGGGTGTCTCCTCGGGTGACTAGGAAGCAAACTCGACCAATTTCTTGGACGAGTGCCGGCCTGCCGTATCCAGCTTTACGGTGACCACACACACGTGCCTGTAGGGCACCGTCATATCTGTGAGGAGGCACACCGCTCGCGGGCCTTTTTATTTACCGTGGCGATGTTGACGTGACCGTTCACAACATGTGTTGGGAGAGCTGAGCCAGTTGCCGCCATTGTCGTGTCCCGGGTTCTTTGCGTGTCCCCAGTAAAGGGAGCTCCAAAAACTTCTAGGGACAATCCCTAGTAGTTTTCGATGATTTCAAAACTTCTAGGGACAATGTCCCTAGTGTCCCTAGTGGCGGTGACACCCATGCCTCCTTCCACTACCCCCACCAGCTCACTGACCTGCCGTAAGTCAGGATAACATCACCATCAGTGATCTTCTTGCCGGCGAACATGGAGATGGCCGTCATCGCCTTGCAGATGTGGTCATTTATGAAAGTCTCGATCCAATCAATAATATACCGCTTCGCCTGACAACAAAACCATGGCAAGCAGTCAGTAACATTAAACGGAGGGGCGAATAACACACAACAAATGAGAAACTGACCACGACCGAGAGACATGGCACAATCACGAACTATGCCATCCGAAATACGTCTACTTTAGTAAAATGAGACTCAGCAGGCAGCCAGCCCGCCCCCACTGACCGCGCGGCCGGCGACGTCACTGCTCACTGCTCACCTCATAGTCGCCCTTGTCGGCGGGCACGTCCTCGTGCCGGATGGCCTGCTCCAGCCGGTGGGCCACGTTCTCCATGGCCACAGAGAGTGGCCGCCGGCGCGCCAGCTGCGCCACCGCGGCCGCCACCTGGTCGGGCAGGTCGCGCAGCAGCTCGCGCTGCGGCGGCGTCACGTACTGGTCCACGAGGTCGGCGAGCGCGGTTAGCAGCGCCACGGCGCCGGCGTTGCCGCCCGTCAGCTGGCCGGCAGAGAGGCGCAGCAGCAGCGGCTCCAGCGCCGGCGGCACACTGGGGACGATTGGCCAACGAGCGGCGTCAGAGCGCGCCCAGACGGCAGGGCAGACACGGTAGCCCGGGAGGCAGGGAAGAGAAGTCCGTACTAAAGGCAGTGTAATCTGGTTTTGATGGCGGAGTAGCTGAGCGGCATAGTCGAGAGAGGCGGCATTCCCTGTACTAGTGTACACGGTATGTCCCAAACCTACTAGCTGCCCATCCATTCCATTCCTCCCAAACAAGTCCAGCTCCACCCTCGGCGCCGTTCCATCCTCTCGTCGGCCCGCAGGTGACTAACCCATGTTTGCCGGTGGCGGTGTCTGCACTGCTGGCATCAAACTGCAGAAGGTGCGAGAACATCTGCAGGCCCTTCCTGGCTGGCGGCTTCTCCGCGGCGGCCTTTTTGGCGCTGCGACGGTCACCCTTCGACGACTCCTGAAATAACAAAAATGTACAGGCACTGCCAGGCATGCACGTCCAGCCACAAACATCAAATGAATATGACTGCTGAAAATATACAAATTGTATGATGAATCTATGCTATATTGTTAGAAAAAGAATCCGAATGTACAACATACACTATTTCGATGTTTGAATACAAAAACACGCCACCGGAGCTCGCCTAACACATTTAAAAATGGTCGATTAGAGCCAAAAAGCACGCCGGAGTACAGCTTGAGACGGCTCACTTTGTGCGGCTGGTCGGCGTCCCCCGGCGTAACACGCTCCGGTCCTGGCATTTTGGCAGCCTTCGCCCCCGCCTTGGGCGTCTTAGTCGCGGCGGCCGAGGCCGCGGCGGCAGCCTTGGCTGCCCGCTGCGCCTCCTGGAGAGAGCGTCAAACATCAGTATTTGGTGTACTCGGATGTGTCAGCCGAACACGGAGAAGGCACAACAGCTCAGTCTCACCGGCCTATCCTCTACTCACCACCGTCCACTGACCTGTTTGGCGCGCCGCTCCGCCTTCAGTTCGGCTTTGGACTTCTCCCCGGCGGGTTTCTCCCCGGCGGGTTTCTCCGGCTCTGGTTGTCCGGCCGGTGTCGGCGTCTTCTCAGACGGTTTCGCAGCTGCCGGCTCGCCGCTGGGCGTCGCCTTCTTTTTGGACTTTGCCGTGGTCTCTGCCGGCGCTCCGCCGCCGGACTGGGCGGCTTTGGAGGGCGGCCCGTCGCCACCGTCGCCATCTCCAGCCGCCGCTGCCGCCTGCTGCAGTCAGAGAAGGAACGCTCACGACTCAGCACGAGCCATGCGCCTCAACATATCTATTATCTACACATGTTAGAACATAATCTGTGTGTACCACAAACACGATTAAACCATCTAAAAATGTGACGGTGCAAAAAGCATACATAGGTATTTGACGCCAATATTACCCTTCACCTAAATGGAGCTTTAAACATCAACTATCTAAATGGAGAACCTAGCGCTACTGTTTCGCGAGGATAACAGAAGACAGGCCCCTCACCGTCCTTACCTTCTTCTGAGCTTTAGCCGCCTTGGCGAGTTTGGCCGCCTCGGCCTTGGCCTTGCGCTCCGCCTTGATCTGCTCCTTGGTCTTCTGCGGCGCCTCGGCGGCGTCTGCCGGAGGAGCCATGGTCACCTGTGGAGGGGGTGCGGTGCTCCGGGCCGCGCTCTGGGCCTCGGAGGGCGCGGCGGGAGGCGGCTCGACCAGCAGTCGGGTGCGCAGCTCCCCCAGCACCGTCTGCAGCGCGCGCACTGAGCGCAGCACCTCCCTTGAGGAGCTCACCACCGGACTGGTCTCCCGGCGCCGCTCCGGCAACGGCTCAGCGCCAGACTCTGGTGCCGGAGCGCTACAATGACTCGGAACGGAGGGTGCGGGTGCGGTCCGTTCAGTGGGGGCAGAGTGCACCGGCTCGGTCTGTTGAGTGGGGGACGACTTGGTCCGTTGGTCCGAAGCGGAGGGATCCGGTTCGGTCTGCTCAGTGGAGGCAGAGTGCACTGGTTCGGTCCGTTTAGAGGAAGTAGACGGTGCCGGTTCGGTTCGTTCAGTGGGGGTAGAGGGTACCGGTTCGGTTCGTTCACTAGGGGTGGTGGCCGCCGGTTCAGCCTGCTGGTCGTTGGCAGCTGCACTGGACGGACCAGTGGACCTGCGTTTCCTCCGTTTGGCCGACTTGGTTCGTCCCTCTGTCTCGCCGCTGCTGGCTACCGGTGCGGGTCTGTCGGCCTCACGCGCGGCGTGTTCCGGTCCGGACTGGCCGCCGTCGGTCCGAGGGTGTCCTCCCTGTCCGGATCTGCGGGAGGCCGGCGCACTGCCCTCACCCGGCTCTCCTCCGGCGGCGGTGCGCGGCTCGTGCTCGTCTGAGGAGCCGGCCGGCGCGCTGCCGTCCGCCTGCCGGCGCCGCTCCTGCTGCTTCTTCCTCCGCTGGCGCCGCTTGAACGAGCGGCTCGGCTCAGCCTGCGGCACAGGGACACGGTAAATGCACTAGTATATACTAGCGGAACAAGTCTTCGCCAACAAGTGTGTTCGAGGAGTGGGTAGTCGGTAGGTAGCGGAACGGAGGGTCAATTTGATTACATGAGCGTGCTTAACGAAGTAAGTTCGCCGTGCAGACTTTACAAAAGGCTATGCAAGTTCCACATATCTTCTACACTACTATGGTGTTACAGTTCTAGGGAAGGTTAGTATGCGGCTTGCGGTATCAAGTACACCATAAGCACAAAAGCCAGCCTTGTATTGGTTCACAGCAACAGGCAATAAATACAATTTTAACTGAAATGAGGAGGAAGAAAAACGTCGAGAAAAAGTCGTCGGATTCATAGTTAATGAGCATGGTAATCTTGACTAAGTTCACTGGTGCGACTTAAACTGCAATTAAAAGGGTTTTGGACACTAAATCGTTTGAGGAAACCCTGCATCAGAGCAATATCGATAAGGACGAAAATTACGGTTCATTTGAGCGGGAGCGGCTTTACTGCACCTCACGCTCCGACGGCGGAGCGGCGGCGCGGGCTCCGGTTACGTTACGTAGGTATCAAATAACACAGCAGTATGGAGCGCGGTGAAGCGCGCCGAGTTGTCACCACAGCTCAGGTGGCCGGAGGCCGCCGTAGTGGCCGGGACGGAGAGTTCGCCGGCTCCAAGTCAAGCATGTATCGTCAATATTTCACGTCCCGACTTCTGGTTGTGGGGGGAGGGGGGGGGGGCTTGCACCAGCCCTACCTTTATCCGACAGTCAGCAAATGGTACAAACTGAGGATTATGCTGACACCAAAGCAGGAAGGTGCTCGTACGCGGGACAAGACCGAGTACTATCATACGTCAGCTACCCTAAATCTTGGCCATTACCGGCGACACGCTGTTGCAAGGTATCTCTAAAAATCTCAAGGTTGACTGAGTAACTTTACCTAACTTTATTTTATGAAAAATAGTCTTTAATATTGAATATTGTCTCACATTGCAGACACGCATTTAATTCACATAAACACGAAAAAAACATATATAAAAAACACACACACATACCCACACATTCGACTTCATAAGCTAGTATTAGTATCACGTGTTTGTTACAGCCCTAGTAGGCAGGCAGGAACACACAAATGTAGGTTCAGATGTAGGAAAACACAAATGTGGATTCTGCGGATAAGAGCTATCGCAGAGATGCCGGCTGTATAATTAGCCATACGTCTACATATAAGCATCCACTGGCATACACTGGCTATGCAAAGCATACACTGGCTATTCAAAGCTGAAAAAGAGAAATAGAACGGTAGCGAAATAGGTGAGCGCAAAACATGCGGATTGCACATCGAGGCAGTGCTTTTAAATCACAGAAAGTGGGTAACGAAATTATCCGGACATTCGATTTCCGCACTTCTGACCAAAGAGCACGGAAATTCAATGGACTCTTACCCATGGTTTCAGCTCTCACAGCCAGGGTACCTGCTGACCTCGGGTGAAAACTATAAGTGCGTTCAGTACGAGTCGAATCACCACCGAGGTGGAAGTCACTTTGCAATTACCAACAGTCATGGCGTCAAGCATCCGCTCTCCTTTCGCAGTAAAGCTGCGGGAACGGTGCATGGTGTCATAAGCCAAAGGATGACCTGTCGACACCTTAATATCAGCATGAAATAGCTGCTCATCGGGCTGAAGCGTCACAAATTGTGGAATGGGCTGCGAACTCAGCCAACAATGACCACATGATTGCCCTTGGAAGGGTAACTGTCAAAATGGAGATGAAACGATATCAAAATCAATCGACTCGAAAGCTGGCCGAAAGGCCCAACAACCCAGGGAGTAAGACGCATCATATGGTAGTTCACCGCTACCCGCAAAACAGCCTGGACATTCAGCAATTCAAGCTGAAAGTGACACCAAAACTGAAAGCGGCGACCACCTGAAGTTCACGTGGGGACACCTGCGCTGGTTTGTTTGTTTGTTTATTGGGGCTTTAGGGCGCGCCGACTGCGAAGGTCATTTTGCGCCCATAACCACCTGCGCTGGTCAGACGAGACGAGAACAGGCGGCAGGCGATTTGGTCGGATCCGTCATCGTTCGGGCCGTGCCATCCTCTCAGCCGCCATACCTGTGTGTGGGTGACCAGCAGCTCGAACGTGCCGACAGTTCCCAGAGTTGCACGGCTAGCCATGAACCACGTCTGGGGCAATATGCTCAGCTACTCTGCTTGTGGCAGCCGCACATGATGCTCCGGAAAACGATAATCAATGGCAATTACTAATTACTATCGACCCAGCATCAAGACCAGCACCTTTATCTCAGGCGGACGGCAAAGGAGGACTCTTAGATTTTGAGCTCGCAATAATTATCCACCTCACCCACACCGTGTTCATAAAGGCACTGCGTCAGATTGAAAAACAGGACAAGGAGTGCTGAGTTTCTCTGAGAAAACGACGGTTGATCTCACATGGTTCCGATCTCAATCTCCTTGAAAATGTTTCCAGTTTCCTCCAGCAGAACGTGCACCATATTCATGACTAAGGAAAGAGCTGTCAAAAGCACGGGCCAATTGGAGGTGCATGTCAAAATTGGACAGGGCAAAACTAAGCCAGGCAAGTTCAAACTCAGAAAATCTAGCGGCTGGGATGCCCCAGCACATGCATGACTGCATTATCATGAAGGCTGGCAATGCTGGTGTTGGTAAACACTGCGAGATGGATGTCCGGATAATTTTGTTATAACTGCAAGAAATTGTGCAAGAAAAGATCTGCTGAGATATGAGCAGCATTGCATCTAAGCTAACTGGCCAACAGCTTACCAGCAGCTCCATTGTGCCACAAGTCTGCAATAGAGGCATACATGTTATTGGAAAATGGCCTCTCTACCTGCAACAGGTGGATCAGGATGCAGGCTGTGACAATATGAATAGCTCAGCAACCTGCATCACAAGCGATGCATTTGCTAACAGATCTATCTAATGGTTGGCTTAGATACAACATTTCAACCATGAAGCCCTATAGCCTGTGGGAAAGCTCAGGATGAATAACACATTTTTGTCAAGTATTTTGGAAAAGACTACCGTTGAAATGCTCACTAGCAGGCCCTGACAGATAGATCTCTGGACATTGACACATGATCATCTTGGGTAGTTGTTACCTAATTATATTCGATGGTGTCCAGCCAGGCCAACACCATGTTTTAGCACATTGACATCACTGCCCACACCACCACATTTAATACACAGTGACGCCGACACAGGCTTACAATTCAACTTCAAGTGTAGATGTAGAGTGTAGCAAGTAAATTTAGCTAAAATTAAGGTAAGGTCTTGTCGTTTTGTACCAATTTTTGTTAACCCGCGCCGGGCCGGTGCTCTGAAATTCCGCGCCGGGCCGGGGTGTGTGTCTGAACACCCCAGTGTGGCCAAATTGGTTTAGCGTTAGGGGGAGGATGTATAAAAAAGTCGTATGAGGATGTCACTATTTTCAAAAAACTCGTCTTCAGCCTCATTTTAGGTGCAGTTTTTACAGGTACCTAATGTGGAAAAACTATACCTGACTTCAAGTTCTGGTGGAAAGTACAAAAAAAAACTTCAAATATTGTCATTAAAGATGTATAAAAAAACAACATTGTAAGCGCGAAAGTACGAGTATGACGATGCGAATCGTGCATTGGAACATTTTTAGTCTTTATTCCTACACTAGGTATGCTTTCACGACAAAAACGTCGTGATGATGTAATTTTAAATTTCTGAGGATGTCATTATACTTTTCATTGGGGGTGACTTTCCCCGCAACATCACCAATTTGGCCACACTGGAACACCCCCCCCCCCCTTCTAACTCGGCTCCTGGGCCACGTAGCGACACGCGAAAAGCGGCAATCGAAAGAACGTCCAAAATAAGGACGAAGACACTTAGGGTCATTTTTTGGGTCAGGTCAAAGGTCAGGTCACCAGAGGTCACCAAAGGTAAAATGTTGACTATTTCAACATTTTGGAAACTGCCCACGGCTATCTCGGGAACCGATAGAGCTACAGCGTCGCAGAAAAGCGCATTCGATAGCCCTTTTACAGACCTGTCTGAGTAATGTTCTCAGATTTGTCCTCAGGTCAACGGTTTAGCCTCCAGATGGCAAAAACTCCAAAAATAGCCATTTTTACGAAAAGCGTTTTTTCGGCAATAATTTTTGACTCAAAAAAGCCAAGACATTACTTTTGCCAGCATCGTGTTCCTCTCGTCGAGACGCGTCGAATGAACTATAATTTGACCTTGAAAGGTCAACTTGAAAATTTGACCTCAGGTCAAGGTCATGACCTGACCGGAAAAGGTCATGTTGCATATCAGTCGATCCGCAACGTCGAGCCGAACACATCTAAGGCGTTTTCAGCGCTCTAACACGCCTCTAGCAGAAGTTATTAGCGAAAAACTGTTAGATTCTGTTTGTGATCTGAGATGACCTCGGGGACATAACGAGGGGTCACAGTTGCCATTTTCCGGTTCAGTGTGTCAATTTTACCTACATCTCGATGTTTGAGAGTGTCTAGAATAGCGTTCGTGCAAAACAGACGCTTTTCAATTTTCTCCCATTGACTTATAACGGAGAGTCCGCAAAATTGATCTGACCTTAGGTCACCGATATCAAAATTCCGAGATAAACATTTTATAGATAATGTTACTCTTATTAATCGCTGAAAGTTTTAAGGCAATCGATCAGTCGGTGTAGCTATGACGAGTATTCTTAATTTTCTGAGGTGAGGTCGCTTTGTGTGACCTGGTGACCTGACCTAAGGCGACCTGGGTCTGAAATTTTCACAACATGCGCGAAAAAGATAAACGAACAGATGTGCCAAAAACGGCAGCGCTCGGCGCCACCGTTTTTTAGATATCTGCGAAAAACCGCAGGAGGGGGGTGTTCAAACACCCCCCCCCCGGCCCAGCGCGGGTTAATGATTCATAGGTGGCAAATTTAATTGTCCATCTGTGCAACAATATTTCAGCACAATTACACCAGATTTTGCTCCAACATTTCCGCACAATCTATCTGATATGCTAGACATGTCGATGGTAACATGGACTTTTTCCAGTCTGGTCATATACCAATGCACACCCTGCTTTGGGGGCCCTGTATTTTGAATTAGGACTTGCCCTGCGCGTTACGGATGAAGGCAGTACGTAATTTATTCCGTAAATGTTTATGAGCTATCCAGGACATACACATTAATTGTAATGTGTTTATTCTTAAGCATGTAATCATATACAGCTTGATATTAGAATAATGTCGTCGGACATTATTCTAATATCAAGCTGTATATGATGTACATGCTTAACACGCGCACCGACGGGGGGGGGGCGGATATCCGCCCCCCTGAGGTTTTTTGCAAATAGCGGGAAAACCGCGGCGCGTAGCGCCGCGAAATTTGGTACGACTATTCTCTAATCAATTTTACACATGGTGTGCAAGTTTGAACCTCCTAACTTTTAAGGTCAGGTCACCAGGTCACTTTGAATGACCCAACCTCAAGTCACTTTTTTGCAACTTTGTCACCATGCCAGAGCTACAGTAGATGTCGGAGGCCTTTGAGAGTCCCAGGATGTTATAAGGTCATCAGTAGCTACAATTTGAATATCTCGGAATTTTAATATCGATGACCTAAGGTCAGGTCAATTTCTCGACCTCCCATTATAAGTCAATGGGGGAAAAATCAACTCCCTGTTTTTACCACTAAAACGGGTCGGAATGGCCCAATAAACCATAAATGACCTCATATATGATCAACCTTCACTACCTTGAGTCTGTTTTGCTGTTGGGCAGCTGTAAGGTCATGTGTAGAGATTGCAATCCCGGGATCGGGATCCCGGGATCCCGGCGGGATTTTAATCCCGATCCCGATCCCGAAATTCCGCCAATCCCGGGATCCCGAAAAAATAAGTTTTTCACCATAAAAAGAATGCAGCCGCTGCACGAGTCTTGTTTACACTGTTCATGGTGCTGCGTGACATAAAGCAGATAAACTATTTAGCTGGCACCCCGTATTGGCCGTCCACAATCGACCGTGTTGGTAGCTCCCGGGTATCACCCACAGCGGTTAAGCCGCTTAAATACGTACGAAAAAGGGGTCCCGAACGCCAAAAAATTGCAGCATCAGCGCTGCAACATCTTTATCAGGACCACAGATCGTTCAGCGATTCTGACTTGCCCGTCCGTGGCCGGGAAAAAGAGGTCATCAAGACAGTCTTTGAGCTCGTGTCGCAGATGTCACGCAAGTGACGGCAGAGCTCACTGATTCAGACGTTGAAGACGGTAGAGTGGAGCTCTCCCAGTCAGTGACTCTGCTCTCAAAGCGACTTTCGAGCAAATTCTGAGAGACATTAGTGATGAAAGCGGAACCGAAGGAGGTGAAGTGACCAACCGACGTCTTGAAAACATTGTGAAATTCGAAATAGGGAGCTGCCAAATTTGGCGTACACTGGTTGCGAGTTTTTAAGTAGACAGACCTACCAGCAATGGCTTAAAACTGTCGCGCTAACTACGAGTAGCGTAGACGAAGAATGAGTGAGGCATGGATATGCTGGAACCCGTCTAGTAAACGTACTGGTCGACGCACAGTTTTATAAAGGCCAATTGGGAATAAATGATAATGCTAATCAAATTGAAACATTTTCTTCGCAAATTCAATCGTTTTTAATGCAAATGACATAGTTGGCTTTTGATGCCTCTTTGTTTGTGGTAAGCTAAAAGACGCAAAATATGTCAGTAGGAAATCACTCTTACGACATTTAGTGACAAGACCGGGATCCCGGGATCCCGGGATCCCGAAATAAAAACATTCGGGATCCCGGGATTGGCAAAACGTTCCGGCATTGCAATCTCTAGTCATGTGACGTCATCAAAGGTCACCAGCGGTTTTTTGACAATAACTCCGTACAGGCCAGACTGCAAAGTATGGCACGCAGGTCGACGAGGCGCACCGGCCCAAGTTCAAAATCCGCACCAACCCTTCAAACTGAGCCGGAAAATCCGCACCAAAGCGAGCCGAGAGCCCAAAATATCCGCACCAAACCCACACGGGCAATTATAATGCAAGGGACTTCATTCATCTCACTATAATTATTTCCCCTTCCATTTCAGTTTCACGAGCAACGCTCACCACGGGACCGCGCCGCGCACTTGTACCGGAAGTTTGAAATAGAGCAAATAGACGGACGCCGGTGACAAAAGGGCGCCGGAGGGCATATTGGGTCACGTGACATTCGGAACTTCTCCCCTCTCTGTGGGCCTTCTACATGCTAAATGTCACGTGTGAATTTGACGAGCCTTGATAAAATCGCCCCAACAAACTTTCGTATGAGTAAAACTAATGACGTCATTCCAAAGTAGCGTGCTGTCAAACCAGCTGCTCGCAAATGTGACATACCAGTCACCAACGCAACCAGTCTTCGTTCTAATGACGTCGTCATCACGTTAATTTCCGAGGCGAGAATGGATTTGTTCTGCCGCATTTGTTAGTTCGTAGAGTAAATTTAAAACCTTTCTCCGTCACCGTGCGTCACCGTGGCTGGCACGCATTTGTGGGGCTTTCCAAAGAACAGTCAACAAGGAAACCCGGCCGGGTAAGAAGACCAAGCGAAGTCCGCACCGCACCAAGGTCCAAGCCAAATCCGCACCGCACCAGGCAAAATCTGCACCGCACCACTCCAAAATCCGCACCAGCCGAACAAGCCCGCACCGACGAGATCTCGTCGAAATTGCCATACTTTGCAGTCTGGCGTACAGGAACAAGATACAGCCGCGCGGATGGTCTCATTGTGTTCAGCTCGTCAAGGCACATCGAATGATATACATGATGACCTTGAGGTCACGTGACCTGAGGTCAACCTTTGACCTTGACCTTTCGAGGTCAACATATATATCATTCGATGCAGATTGACGAGAGGATCACGATGCTGCCTTTAGTTTGTTCCTATCATGACTAGTTCGAAAGTTATTCGAGAAAAACTCTCTCCATACCTAGCGCCGCCATTTTGACTTTTTTTACCCCTGTGACACGTCATCTTTGACCTGACCTGAAAATGACCTTAGTAAAAATTGTAGACCTTGTCCGTGCGTATCCCTTGCCGTTTACCGCTTGTCGCTATATTGCTTCGTTCTCGAGATCTCAGGGGGGGGCGGTCATCCGCCCCCCCCGTCGGTACGAAGTTGGCACAGACCCCCGTCGGTGCGCGGGTTAAGAATAAACACATTACAATTAATGTGTATGCCCTGGACAGCTCATAAGTCGTCGGAAACACTTAACTATATTACACTACACACCTCACCTTGACCTGCCAACACCTATATCCGTAAGAATCTTGTCAATAACTCAAACGTCTTGTAATTACTCGATATCAAGGCCTCGATATTGGGACGACGGTGAAAACAGGGCGCCTGGGGCGATTTGATCAAGGTTCGTGAAATTTACACGTGACGTTTAGCATTTAGAAGGCCCTTGAAAGGGGAGAACTTCCAAATATCACGTGACTAACAGGCCCTCCGGTGCCCTGTTTTCACCGGCGTCCCGATATTAACCCGGTTTACATAGCATATTTGACGAGGCTCTAGCTCGTTAATTTGGCGATAATTTCGATGCAGTCGTTTTCAAATATTTAGAGGGGATCATTTTGTAAATTGTTCAGCACCATTGGCATCTTTTGCTACATCACGGACGGAGATATAAGCTTGCAACAAACCCTATGTAAACGCGTCTATTGATATTGAGGTTTACATAAAAATATTCCCTACGCCTGAATTGACTTTAGCGCGCCTTGAATGTAGCAATTTGTTAGAGCTGAAAATATTCGGCTGTTGCAAATGATTTCGGTTTGTTTTGAAAATTGACAGTAGGAATATTTGAAACAAAATTAATTTTTAAATTATTCAAATTAGAATGGCTGTATTTTTGAAAAATAGCCCTTCGCCCATACCCTGTTCAGCCCTCTGGTGATACACGATGAAAGTTTAATACTCACTACTGACACTACTTCCTTTTCCGCTGCCACTTCGTCGTGTGTGGTGATCCTGGTGAGCTGCGCGTTTAATGTATTTGTCTCCCAACACTAGAACCCTACATTCTGTTTTCTCATGTGTTTTGAAAGGGGTACGACTTACGGGTTCCCCTTGCCTGGTCTCAACGTGGGTAGTTGAAGATATCGAACATTTCCAACAAGGCCCTATATACCAGGTAGGGTCGTCCGGCGATTCTACCTTTTCGTGACGTCAGCTCGTGACGTCATTTGGAGTCAAGTCTCGAAGCCCCGTTCAATTCCCATGTAAATGAGCGATTTTCGAAGCACTGTAGAATGAAGTCTGCACAAGATATATCAAACCTAAGTATCTTATCTGAAAGAACAGACAATTTTCTGCAAGTTATCTATTACGTGTTTTTCGCTAAATCTTTTGCTTTGTTCACAAAAGCGTAAAATGTCCCCTCATGTCTCCGCAGCCTCCCTGCCGCCGGCCGCCGCGCGGTCGCGGTAGTGTAGTGGTTAGCGTGCCCGCGCAGTGTTCCAAAGGTCCCGAGTTCGAATCTATGCGGTGCGGAACTTTAATTGCAATTCCAAGCTGAATATACGCACATCCATAATAAATTAGTATTTGTATAGCTAAACTGTCACCAAGATATCCATATAAATTGACTTCACCCAAAATATCGGCAAGATTCTATTAAAATATAAATTCAAATATGGCGGCTTGGACTGCCGCGTGCGTTAGGCTCCGCCCATAGCTCCGCCCACATGCGTGACGTCATTCGTGTTAGTGGACACACGCGGAGATAGGGGACGACATGGGCCTGATTTCCAACAGGTTCATGTTCATCTAAAACCCTGATTTTGATTTGGGCTTTCGGTACTGCACTGCTTTGCCACAAGCAAATTTGATAAGGTGGCAAAGGGTATTAGTATATGGGCCTGTTCCAGCGCCTCCAGAAACCTCCAGAAACCTCCAGAAAGCTCTAGAATCCTCCAGAGAGCGTTCCAGCGCCTCCAGAAAGCTCCAGAAAGCTCTCGCCAAAGCTCCAGAAACCTCCAGTAGCCTCCAGAGAGTTGAGAGGTCCAAATTTCTCTGGAGGCTCTGGTCTACAATTATGGCGCACATGTGACAATCACAAATGTAAACAAAGGAATTTTGACTGATTGTTTTACAACTTGAATGTAAAGAAAATTACATTGCTATAATTTTGTTAATCTTTCTTAATAAAACTGAAAAGAAATTTTGCGTTTCAAGAGAGAACAATCGTCATTCTTTTGGTATCTGTGATGCCAATCTCCAGAAATCTCCAGATTGCGTTCCAGCGCCTCCAGTGAAACCTCTGGTAGAGCCTCCAGTCAAGAATTTCTACTGGAGGCGCTGGAACAGGCCCTATATTAGGTCCGAGTGGACAATTGTGACGCTGTCGATACAAATATGTAACAGCAAAAAATTTAGGTTTTAGGTTAGGTTAGGTTGTAGGTTTGTAGGCTTGTAGGCTTTAGGTTTTAGGTTGGTAGGTTTGTAGGTTTTAGGTTGAGGTTGTTAGGTTGTAGGTTGGTAGGTTGTAACTTGTACTTACCTGGTTCACTTACCTGGTTGGGTTCCGACAATGTCCAGTAGGATAGAGATAGGAGAGTCAAGAAGAGGAATTTAGGAACCCCGTACACAAGGGACGTGCCAGCCTTGCAAAGCTATACAAAAGACACCTATCATGGAAAGTGGGCGGCTGGAAAGTTGCGTCCCGTCTGTGAGATTACATCTGAATGTTAAGGCATGAATACATAAGTGTTAAACAGTTGTACATTCGTTGTGTACAAGTACAAGTAGCATTCGTTGTGTACAAGTAGGTATATAGGTAAGGTTAGGTCAGGTTTGATTATGTTTTTTCTTTTATTTCCAGAACATATAAGTATCATTTTTGGATTCAGGATGTCAAATAATGTAAGAATATGAAAACTCTTAACAGTCACTCGGACTCAATGTATACTTTTACACTAAAAATGAGCAGCATGATTGAATATCGTAGAAGAATAACCTATGCTCACTATCCTTTAACAATCCAAAATTAACCTCAAATGAATTAATATGTTTTGGAAACATTCTTCCAGGGCCTCGGCTAACATGTTAACTGGTGGGCCAAATGGCCCACCAGTGACCCGAAATGGCCCACCAGCCTCAAAGATTTGGCCCACCAGTAATTTTCCGAAAAATCTAAGATTTCACATTTTTCACATTTCAAATTGAATTAGCAGATCTTATCGTACATTTTCAGGCTGTAAAGGACCCATCGGTGAAACATATTCTTGTGAAAAAACTTCAACCTATTGTTTGCAATATCCTCTTGGGGTAAAAAGTGAACTATAGTGGACTAAGTGGACTAAGCCTCGGTCACACTTCACCGGATTGGACCAATGGACGAGAAACGGACGGCGTCCGGTGATGTCCGGGGGATGTCCGTTCGTTTCCGTTGGACGTCCGTTTCTCATCCGTTCATATCCGTTCCATGTCCGGTGGTGTCCGGTGTGCTCAACCGGACACCACCGGACATGGAACGGATATTAACGGATGACAAACGGACGTCCAACGGAAACAAACGGACATCACCGGACGCTGACAGTTCTCGTCCGTTTCTCGTCCGTTGGTCCAATCCGGTGAAGTGTGACCGAGGCTTTAAATTTCATGCAATAATCGTGAAAGACGTCTGCCTCTGTCAATTACAGATAGTGTCGGCGGCTTCCAGCCGATCGAGGTCTGCGAGAGTTCTTGCAAGCTTTCCGATCGATCGAGTGGTTAGTCGGTTACAAGAAAGACTAAGAAAAAAGAACAGACCAGTTCAGACGGTCGGGGATAAGCCTGCGAGCGATCTCAGACGGCTCGCCGATAGACACGATATAAGCCAGAGTCAAACTAGAGGTAGTGTCGGCGATTTCCAGCCGATTGAAGTCTGCAAGCGATATTATGCGTCTTCACGACCGGTATGATGCTTGCAGTCACACATCTGACCAGTTGGACGAATTTCGAACCGTTCACAGTCAGCGTTCCAAAAATTTATCATTGGGGATGAAGATGACACTCAAGAATAAGAATGGATAATTTTCCACTCTCACATTTTGGGTGGCTCGAATTTTCCACTCAGACACCCAAGAGAAATCTGAAGTTTGGGACACTGTTCACCAGAAGTGAACATGTACATAACTTAGTTTTTTTTAAAGAAAATATCAGGGCAGCGCAGTGCGCTTGGGCTTTTGAGTCAATTATTTTCCATGCGACA